AGGAGCGCTTTCGCAGATCATTCATCCCAACAGCAGTTAGACTCTATAACTCCTCAATCACGATGTCATAAGTCACTGGACACTGTGAACATCCACAGTCACCACCTAATGCATAATGGACCTTCCATGACCTTCCAAGCTATATAGTTTATGTCTTCCATATTTCCAACTATATCCATAATCACATACTGTGTATGCTACCATTGTATATAGTGTATTATCTTACTTTTTTTTTTTCCATTGATTGTACTTATTTGTATTTTTTATATTTCCTTCTAATATCTGTACCTGAGCTGAGGTGATGCAAAAATTTCCCCGTTGTGGGATCAATAAAGTCTTATCTTTATCTTCTTCGTCTAAACTATTAGGGAGCATTCTTGTGATATACTTTAAGTAGTCTTCAGGAACAGCTCTCCAGGCTTCTTGAAGCATCCAGGATCCAGACCTTCGGAGAGCCTGGGGAACTATTCCTATAGACCACCTAAAGAAGTTCTAAGAAAAAAATGTCGCATTTGAAGCAAAATGTAAAGAAATGAATTTTAATGAAACCGTCAAAGACTAAATCAATCCAACAGATATGAGATCCAATTTAAACTACACTTTCCATATTATTTAGAGTTCATTTGTATTCTGTGGATGTTTACAGACAGCAGCGTTATGAGCACTGTCATACGATTAAAGGAAACAAAGGTGCAGGTTTTAATATTTTTTTTCCCCAAATCTAGAAACCAGCCGGAACAGAAGAGGTTACCCTGAATCAGATTTGGAATTATTACGGCTTTATTAATCATAGGCTAAATTCAAAAAGCAGACATTCAGCAACAGTTAAACATCGTATAGCAGCGGGAATAGGTGAATTGACGAGAAACTGGGTGAACTCCACACCATGCATTCAACTCTTGAGTACAAGGGTGCTGTAATAATTGTAAGTTGAAAGTTTGCTCAACTGTTGAGGGTAAAAGTGAGACTTTGCTTTCCATAAATCTGTTCTGGAAACTGACGTGTGTGTTTCCAGAAATTTTGAGGAAAACCAAAACCTAAATTAAAGAGTGCAGAGAGGCTCAAGAGGGGAAAAAAAGTCAAAATAATTAGTCAAAAGAGAAAAGGTGTAAAGGATATAATGTAGGTCTATGTTTATTATTCATTTAGACAAGTCTGGTGTTTCACTGCAACAGATGGAAATGTTTTCATCAATCCAAAGTTTACTTCATCACCAAGGCATAACTTTGTGGAAGAAAATAAAACACTTCATTGCTCTTTCCCCCTCTTTGCTTCCAAGGTCGATACAAGAAAAAAATAAAACCAAACTGCTTTTTTGTTTCCCTGTCCGTCAC